GGGCGAAGGGTCGAGACCCCAAAGAATTTGCCTCCTTGATATTAGGACACCTGTCCAAACCGGGAAATTTAAACTCACTCATTAAATAGGGATAATGGAGCGTTTCTTTTGCCCATCCCGGCATTTTAGTTGTACTTCTGAGGAAAAAAGCAGCAACTATAAATGGTTTCTAACCAGGATGCGTGCGCGCACGTTATATTAAAACTTCCTTTTTTGATGAAACACTAAGAGCAATAATGGGTCAGTTGCGCTAGTCATAGAATCGTGTTTCGATGCTTGATTCTTGTAGCAGCTAAAAATATCACGAACTGTCCAAACAGCAACTTCCTACGATGAATATTAACTGAGATATGATTTGAAAAACTTGGTATTTGACGTAATCCACCGCGGTGGCGACATCCTTGGTTTCTTCCACTTTGCTTTCGTTGGAATGCTACATTCATATTTCCCGCATTGGTGATGTGAATCGGTGTGTTACACCGGTGACTTCGGGATGGCATCACTTCTCTGTACTTACTTAAGGCCTTTGCACACGTTGCAAGTTTTGCTGCAAGTGAGCCGAAAGTGGGAGTCATCGGTGCATCACTCATCGATGATTCTGTAATTTGCGGGGCGCCCGTAGAGTACCTATATTGAGAGAGTATGGCCACTGGGTCCTATGGAGAGGCTTAGGACCCAAAAATGGCGGTGTTTTGTTATGGTTTTTGAGGATGGGAGGGGGGTCATTGCCAACTTTTGACGGTTATCACCAACCGCACTTGCTGCCACGATTAGCCTTAAAAATATGTAAAAAAGTCGCAATAGTGCATTTGGGTAAAGTTCTCGTTACGATAAGCAAAGACAACTACATTTTGAATCATTTTGCATTACATTAACTTTATGGCGTCCGCCATTTTTGGGTCCTAAGGGCTCCATTCAGCCTAAGATGGCTGAGCCAATCAGAAGTGGTAACTCCAGTGGCCATACTCTCTCTTAATATAGGTACTCTAGGAGCCCGCAATTTTCACGATCATCGATGAGGTCGCGGCTCTACAACCAACGCTCTTTTAAATGGTGACCATAGTGACCGGGTAGTGTAAGCCTCTTAGGCTTTTTTGTAAATTTTGTATATTTTGTACAGTTGTACATATTATTATAAAAGATGGATAACAAGAATCCGTTGAAATATGTAATAATTAATGGAAAGCCAATCTTGGTAAGATTTCAACCTACAACAAGTACACAAGAGAATGAATCAGCACCTCTGATCAAGAAGCAACCAGCGCCTACTATTACTATTCGACCAGCTACAACAGGTAGTACACCAGAGAATAATGACCCTCCGCCTCCGGGTCAAAAAAAGTCAGAACCAGCAAAAAAGAAGCCACCCAGTACCGATAAGGACAAGTGGAATCCGGAACAAATTTTAGAGCTTATTATGGCTGTCAAAGAACAGCCCAATCTCTACGACAACAAATCAGAAACATTTCACAATCGGGTTAAAAGGGAGGAGAGCTGGAGCATGGTCTCAAAACAAGTCTCCCTCTTCAAAGAAGGCACAACTGGTGAGTGGTAGTTTCTTTTTGTCTCTTCTAGGAACATCTTTATTTCAGGATGATGAGACTCATTATTTAGATAAATAATGTGCATTCGGTGCATTGCAGAATTGGGGTGAGAGGCAATAGGAGGGCTCAAGTCATGAGTAACGCCTTGTCTCCACGAGCCATTTCATGGGATTTGTCCCAGGGAGAAATCTCACTTGCGAAGTTGGGAAAAATATTGAGGCAGTCAATACTAATCACAGTACCAACTAGAAGTCCTTGTGCGGAGTCCCAGGAACGACTTTCAAAGAAGAAGAAATTTTGTTGTGTTGTTTTACGCGAAAAAAGCCCAGACGTTTCATTCCTGCGATTCGAACTTGGGAAAAATCCTGTGAAACGGCTCGTGGAGACAAGGTAGAAGCCTATTCCATTTGGGCTCCATCGGCTGAGTTACCTTTTTGCTTTGGAACATCTTTATTTCATGATGATGAGACTCATTATTATGCCGAAACATGTCTCCAAGTGCACTACTTGCCGAGAGATGTCTCCTTTTAAGCAAAGACCAACTGAGATTTATTGATTTATAATGAGAGTACATTTGAATTCCTCAGATTTCAAGCAGGTACATAACATCTGAAAATTCGCTTGTTCCCATATTTTTAGTTCACTTCTAAAACTTATCCTCTGCTGTGCGATAAAATGGGCAGTACCTACATAGTCTTTCGGTTGTCCATGTGAGCCCATTTATGCTAAAGGAACTATGTTGCAAACAAATCCTATGCATTTAGTTCTTTTTAGCATAAGTACGTCCATGTATTTCCCTGCACAATTCCGATTCATTACATTTTCAAATTGAAAACTTGATCAGAGTCTGTAAGTATTTCATTTTTTTTATTTTGTCTTTCTTGAAATGCATACTTACTTTCTTTCATTTTTTACAGTCGATGATGTCAAAGCTAAATGGCATTCTTTACGTACGCAGTTTGCGGCTGAACAGAAGAAAGTGAGAGAGAGCACGGGTATTGGTGCTGCTGGAGGAAAAAAAGGATACACCCCCTCTATGAAGTTCTATCATGAAATATATTTCATCAAAGAATTCATAGATGCTCGTAGAACAATTGATAACTCTGAGTCTGAAGACCATCATGTCCGCTATGTTCGTGTTCAATTCAACAATTTTGTCGCTACGCATCGGCATTGTTATTCATTAAACTGAAAGTACCAACATGGTAGCAGAGCCCGGTTGATGTATGTATTCTATTAATTCCCGTGAATCAGTTCCGAAAGAGACGACTTACCTACTCGAAAGACCCCTGCGCCTTTGCCTCGCTACAACCTAACGTATCACCATGCCGGTAGCATTAAGGTGCAATACTCCATAGGTGCCTTTACCTAATACAATTCAACCGCGAAGAAAAGCTCTCTAAAAGTTGAAGGAAGTGGCCTGAAAACAAAGCCCAAAATTTTTAGAAGTTCCAGACTACTCAAATTGTGTCTGATGAGCAGTGCGTTACGGGTTACCCAGTAGTGACGAAACCCCTGTTGGGCAACCTTTTGCAAAGGCCGCGGCCGAGCTCGTAGTGACAATGTGGTCTCAACCTTTTGCAAAGGCCGCGGCCGAGCTCGTAGTGACAATGGTTAAGGGTCAACCAAAGGAAAACCCATGTAAACTCATCATGTAGCAGCGAAGCAGGACAGGAAGGAAGACAACGGGTAAGCCTCCACCCAGGTTCGAATAAAAGGCTACAAATGAAGATGTATTGAAAAGTGCCAAGCGGCTAAGCAGTTAGAGGAATTCTTCGAGCGTGTCGACGCGATCAACATTAATCTCCTTTAAAGGAATGTAATAACTTCCGGGGACAAAGAATGTACAAGACAAGTGATTATGAAGGTACAAAACTTCATTTATTATGAACAATACTTAATGACTAAGCATATCCCAATTACCTCATAAAGTAGTGATATAAGTAGGTAGCAATTTTTCTCTCTCCATTGCATACCTATCTGGTTTGTGTGAGCATTAATTCTTGACGTTTTCTCCTAAATAATTTTATTAAATCATGGCAATGTTTTCTCCTAAATAATTTTATTAAATCATGGCAATGTTCAAAGCAAAAGTGCTGGTTTTTGACGGCAAAGACTATCACAAATGGAAGTTCAGATTAACTCTACTAATGAAATTAAGTAATTGTGAAAAGGTTATAACTTTACAAGAAAGACCAGAAAATATTACAGCGAATAATCGGTCAGAAATGCAAGTCAAAGCCACTAATATAATTATTTCCAGTGTAAATGACACTCAAATTGTAGCCCGGTAATGTATCAGAAGTAGTTTATCCAGAGGGCGACACTTCCCCAGTGGTTCTGGACGAGGCATCTCTGATTGGTTGCAGTTGCCGAATGATGATGGATCGACCTAGAGTCCCTTTATACTGAGAGTCAAGACAATTTGAATCCATTTCTGATTGGTTCCCGTATTTTAGGCCTTCACAGTGTCACAAACGGGAATAAAGATTACAGTTTCACCGATTGCAAAGATTATAATCTGGAATGGACCGGGGAATTACGGGTTCGGCAAGGAACAAACGGAATGAGGGAAGGAACGAAGAAAGGAATTCGAGAATGGGCCGATCAAAGATTACGAAAAACGTTCGATTTCTGTAATCTTTATTCCCGTTTGTGACATCCATGAGCCGAATTGTCTTGACTCTCAGTATAAAGGGACTCTAGATCGACCAATTGCCGTCTGCCCACGTAGCAAATGGGAGGCGAAAATGGAAGTCATCAGTGCATCGGTGAGTGTTGAACGTGAAAATTGCGCGGGCCGCGCAAATTTCGCGATCATCGATGTGTCGGGGCTGAGCATCCATCATTTTCTATCATGTTTTGAAGCTATGTGAGTTGTGATAAAGTACATAATTTTTTTGTATTATATTACTGTATAAATAGTGTAAAATTTGGACAGAACTTTGTACAAAATAGTTTCTTGTAAAAAGTGTGGACTATAAAGTTTCTTTATAAATATGAATAAGGTTTGTAAAGTGCAGTTAATAAAATCTGCCGATGGGTCTACCAAACCCTCCATAGTCTTCCAGACGGCACAAGGTAAAACCGTCCCAGTAATAATAAATAAAAGTGCCATTAATCATGTGCGATTGCCTATACAACCTTCAAATACTAAATCAGAGATGGCGTGCCCTGAGCCGCTGGGGACAGTGCTGCCATTTCCCGGAATTAATTCCGATTTTCGGAACTTTTCAAATTTTCGGAATTTTTCCCGGAATTATTTAGATTTTCGAAACTTTTGCTAATAATCGGAATATTTAATGCTCAGTCCCGGAACTTTCCAAAATTTTCGGAAATTTTCCCGGAATTTTTCAGATTTTCGGAACTTTTGTCAAAAATCCGGATAGATTTTACTTTTTAATGATCATTTTCACCGGACCGTACACATGTCTACTAACATTATATTCCTTATTTCTTGATCTCTTGAAAAATGCCGTGAAAATTTAATTTTCTTTCTCATCCATATAGTTGTGGAGCTATCGTGCTGTGATACTAGTTATAGTTATTTTGCGTTTGGATGCCATAGTTTATTAGTTTATTCGTTTCATTCGACTGGACTCACCGGACCGGACAGTGTTTCACCAATGTTGTAGGTATGTAATACCTGTTTGTTGTGGTAATTTGTAACTTTTGATAGAAATTATCTATCCATCTATTAACTAAAGATCTTCGTATACTAGTTACGGCCATACTGATCGGATCAAACTCATTTACTGATTTCAATCAGAGATCAGCTTTACCTTCAATGAGCCGCTTTGAAAGATGCAGCTCATTCAAAACACGCAGACGTTTCTGTGGAAAGAAATCATTCGGATCAGGCCAGTACTGCCAATAGAAGCCATGCAATGCAATGCAATTAGGATAATGCCAGCCAAGCTTGGTTAAGCAATTCTAGAATAGAGATGCCATTTGCTCTTTTTCACTCTCAAAGCGGGACACTAACTCTGGTGGAAATTGCATTTTGACAGTTTTCTCCTTTGCTGTGGTGGGAACATGGACACAGGTATAGCAAAGTGAGTTGCATCATAAAATTATGACCTTTATAACAAATAGCAGCATTTAAATTGCATGAAAACCAGTTCTCTATTGCACTGAAAGCAAATGCCAATTTATCTGACACAAGTCGTATCTAAATTGATGGCTCATATGTGCCTGTGACCTGATGTGTTTTTAATTAATTTCAATTTTTTCATTTCATTCCAGAATCAGTATGGAAGAAGGGCCATTTGAACACCTTTTGTTTGCCTGTTCCGATCCAGATGAACCTGAGGCGATTGAAATAACCGTAGACAGTGATATTGAAGGTACTACTCGGAAGCTAATGTTCTTCATTTACTTGTTATTAGCATAAAGACCAGATGAAACCATCAGAACTCTTGTATGCTACAGGAATCTTTAACTTAAGAACTATGTTTTATTGTAATATTTTATGCTTTAATATTTATTATGCTTTAATATTAATTATTAATAATAATTTTCATATGCCCGTCACATCATATGCTGATGCTCTCCGCGCGGTGAACAACGGCGCTCCGCCCCCTGCCCCTGTCCATGTGGGCTCCAGAGTATTTTTACCAAAGACTGTTTCTGACGACGTGGTGATTGGTCCGGCTGACCCAGATTCTGCCAATTTTGAAGAGGCTGTTGTGCCTCTTTTAGAGTCCGTAAAGAATGCTCCGGATGCTCACATTGTAAAGGTTAATTCAGATTTTCCTAGAGGTTCGGTGCGAATTAGAGTAGCGGATGTGCAGTCATCAACGGTAGTAAACAAGATTGTTTCCGACAGGGGGCTGTCTGAGAGCCTTCACATCTCCCTGAAACGTGCGAGACTCCCTGAGTTGTTTTTTTCCTCAATTGAAAATTCAATTGATCGCGATTCTTTTCCCTCGCATATTTTCCAAAAGAACCCGATACTCTCCATGGGAGGAAAGCTCTCGGCAGACGACTTTGTGAAGGATTTTCAGGTGGTCAAGGAATTTAAGACAGCGGCCAGTGATAAACTAGGTCTTAAAATGATTATTGTTAAATGCTCGCCGGAAATACGCTCAGCAATCCTAGAGATTAAGAAAATTTTTGTGGGCTGCCGTGCAGTTTTCCCGAAAGATAATGTGAATCCTATCAAATGTTTCAATTGTTATAGATACGGGCATAAAAGTGCCAATTGCTATGACCCTACCCCTTTCTGCGGGGGATGTTTCTCTCATGGCCACCCCTACAAAGACTGCAAAAGCCCTAAGTCGGAGGTGGAATGCCCGTGCTGTTTTCAGTTGGGTGCTCCCCCAGAGATTTATGCTGGTCATGATATGTATGATAAAAAGTGCCCTGCGTTACTCAAGGCACAGGAGGATCTTATAAAGAAAACTAACTATGGCCATTGATAATAACTATTTTGAAGTTTTGCTCTGTAATGTAGATAGGAGCCCTGACTCTCATAACGCCATTCTTAAAATTGCCGATGAACGACGCTCTGCGGTCATTATTATGCCAGAACCTAACTTAAGATTTTGTCAATTCCGTAACTATTTCTTAGATAAAAGAGAAGACGTGGCTGCGTTTACAACCCCTCATCTTACTGGTGCATGCCGAGAGTGGCGCAGCGAGTCAGGTTTCCTATCTTTTGTACACAATGATATCATGTTTTTTGGTGTGTATGTGTCGCCAAACTGTCCCATCTCAGTCTTTGAGAGCTTTCTGCTAAGGTTGGAGCACGCTATCCACTCGCAGCAATTGCCTGTAATTCTTTCCGGAGATTTCAATGCTAGGTCGGCTGCTTGGGGCGATAGGGCGGATGTAGTTTGTATCAGGGGTAGGAGACTTGAGGAGTGGGTTATGGCAAACGACCTAGTGGTGCATAATGACCCTAATGGGAAAATCCCTTCCTTTTCTTCGTCAAACGGCCAGTCGTTCATAGACCTGGTAATTAGTTCCAGAAAGATAGAGAAAAGGATCTCATCATGCGAGACTCTGATAACTGAGACAGCTAGCAGACACCGTAGTGTTGTTTTTAGGGTGGATGGTGGCCCTTTGAGCTCTACGGTTCAGGTGCCTTCCCCTCCTCAGCCCACGTGGTGGTTCGACAAGGCAAAATTCAAGGACTTTGCAAAAGAAACGGTAAGACTAACGAAAGAGCAAACAAAATCGTGTGTTCTTACAGCTTTAACGTGTGTAACTATCCTTTCCTTGGCGTCATCCAGTGTTTTTCAAAAGTGTTTAACTAGAAAACAGAGACCGGGCGTTCCATGGTGGACACAAGAGATAGGTGAGTGCAGGAAGCTATGCCATAAATTGTCAAGGAAGATGTATAAACTTTCTGGTGCAGCCCGGACAGCTGCACAAGAGGAATTGTCTGCCTGTCGTAAAGAGCTGAAGCAAAAAATAAGGAAAGCAAAAAGAGATTCTTGGGAAAGGCTGGTGTCGGAGTTAGAAAATGACCCCTGGGGGACAGCTTATAAGATAGTTAAACGGAGGCTCAAAACCCCTCCCTCTCATGACCAGTCCTCCCCTACCAATGAAGAAAGCTTGGCCGCAATCAGGGAATTGTTTCCTTCTAGACCCCTTCCTGAATGGCCTGAATTTAAGGACGACGTAGAATGCCCCCTTATATCGGAGCGCGAGCTTCGTGAGGCAGTCAAATCAATAAAAAACAAAAAGTCTCCGGGTCCAGATGGCTTTCCTCCAGAGGTAGTTAAGCTTTTTGTTGAGTCTAATATCAAAGAATGCCTAGAAATGTATAATAATTACCTACTAAGCGGAACCTTCCCCCAAAATTGGAAGATTGCAAATTTGCTTTTACTTCCTAAAGATAAGAAAAATAAGTCCGGCTCGAGGTGCTTTAGACCTATCTGCCTGCTCGACGTTCTCGGGAAAATTTTTGAGAAGATTATCACAAACAGGCTCACTGCATCCTGCCCTTTGTCGGAAAGACAGTTCGGTTTTCGTAAGGGCAGGTCTACTTTGAGTGCTGTCAAAATGGCGAGAAGGCGGATAGCAGAAATTAGGGGCTCTCCATCTAAGCCCTTTGTTGCCCTAGTTACTCTAGATATAAGAAATGCTTTTAATTCTCTGTGCTGGTCTGATATATACTCGTCACTTCTTGAAAAGGAGGCCCCTCCTTATCTAGTAAGGATAATTTTAAGCTACCTAACGGACAGATATGCTAGATTTGAGGACTTTACGTTTGCCATTTCGGCAGGGGTCCCCCAGGGTAGCATAGTGGGCCCGGTACTCTGGAATATTTGTTACGATTCAGTAGTTGAGCTAGTCACCTTCCATGAGTGCGAGAAATTCGCATACGCGGACGATCTCGCCCTCGTGGTTAGCGAAAAGAGCAGAATGGAACTCAGAAGGAAGGTAAACGAGATAACGAAAGAGATTGGCGCTGCTCTCAAGTCAAAGGAGCTTTTTTTAGAGCCGAGAAAGACTGAGGTGGTAGTTACATCCAGGCGCAAATTCAGGGGCAAGAACATCAGAGTGCTGGTGGAAGACCACCCCATTGTCCCTGCACCCTCTCTGAAATACCTGGGAATCTGGTTTGACGGAAGCCTCTCTTACTCAACACACATTGAAAAGGCTATTATTAGGGCAAAAAGGGTCTTTGGCTCGATAGCTGGGCTGTTACCCAACCTACGTGGCCCTAGCTATATAAAGAGGAGGCTCCTGTATAGTGCGGCTATGTCGGCATTTCTTTATGGGGCTCCAGTATGGGGTGCT